CATGTGCATTTAATCCTGAACAAAACAATGTAGTATCATCCGCAAATAAAACTGTGCCAAGTAAATTAGATACATTTACCAGGTCATTAATAAACAATATGAACAGTTTAGTTCCGAGGACTGACCCTTGTGGCACACCATAATAAATATCTTTTAATTCAGATTTAGCATTATTTATTTGAACAAACTGTTTTCTATTGCGTAAATAACTATTAACCCATTGATGCGCCACCCCTACTTAAACATGAGCACTAAATCCTCCGGGATATTTGTTGGGTTTGTCTTACATGTAATGGTGGAATTCAAACAACCCTTCATAACTTTAACTACACGAAATCTTCATAACAAAAAATAAAATAAAAAAACTGCAATTTTCATTCCAAAAAAAAAAAAAAAAAACTAGGGAAATGCCACTGTTGCTCATCAGTGTGACACCATGATGCCTAGTCCTGTATGAACAGCTGCTTGACTGGCAGAACATCCCGTTTCCCCTCTTAACCCAATGAATAAAATGGATGTTACTCATCCCTACACGTTCTTTTACTTTTGTTCATGCATTTCCCCTCAACATTCCCCTCAGGGTCAGCAGAGTGGGATTTTAGATTTGATGAAAAGATAATGTCTTTTCTGTAGAAAGTCTTTTTTGTGTCATATTGATATCAAAACAAGCCAGTTCTGTAAAGACAAGAGTAATTCACACTTTTATTACAACTCAACTTGACTACTGTAATGGACTTTACATTGATGTCAGTCAGGCCTCCCTCTCCTGCCTTCAGCTTGTCCAAAACGCTGCTGCAGGCCTTTTAACCAAATCATGTCGACATGAGCACATCAAACCAGTTCTGTCATCTCTCCATTGACTCCCTGTGCAGCACCACAGGATTGATTTTGGTGTCCTCCTGTTGGTCCATTATTTCCTAAACGGTGTAACATTTTGCTCCCCTGTACTTTGCTGACCTGCTTCAACCTCACGTTTTATGGCAGGCCTTCAGATCAGCTGACCATCTGCTCTTGATCGCACCAAAAACAAAGGAGAGCAGGCTTTTCACTCATGGCCTCAAAACAAACTACTTTCACATATCAGACAGTCTTCGTCACTTCCTGAAGGAGGTCAATAAAAAAATACCAATATTAGTTAGATTTATAGCATGGGACTTTGTGTGTAATAAATGTCATAATCATCTAATTGAAAGTCTCTGTTGGATTCATCTGTTCTGTCTTCTCCAAAGCCTTTTCTCTAACATGTATGGGTCTTGTATTTTTATTCCACCTAGCTAATATTTCCCTCTCCCCCTAAAACCGTGACTGTTTTCACTAAAAATTTCAACAAATTCTAATTGGTTTTACCTCAGAGCCTTACACTCTTCCTCTCAGCGTGTTTTTAGCTTTCAATTATTTTCTTTTTCCTCTGTTGTTTCAAGTGATGTTTTATTAAAGGACCGTTGATTGTACTGCCAGGCTTTCCATCCAAGATTTTTATTTCTTTCACCAATTTTTTGTTTGTTTATTTTCCTGTCGGCATGAGTCACTAACAGTTGAATGGCTGTTCAGAGTGCTGTCCTGGAAACCAGGGAGTGTTTAGATGTGTGGGGTCTTGTTGCAACAAAATTAGCAGAAATGTAGGGATATTGACAGAAAAATGTGCCATGCCTGCTGTCTTTTTTGTGTTTTACTGAACATTCATTACATTTCCTGAGAATAGAAAGCTGTTTCCTTGATGTAAACCAGAAAAAGCTCTGTTTCCTTGATGTAAACCAGTAAGAGCATTTTCTTTTTTAAATCCTTTAAAAAAAATTCCTGTTCAAAGTGCATCAGCAATAACCATGCATCCATTTATTTTATTCTGTCTGCAGATGTATTCCATTAGTTTTTCTTTTCCTTGTATTTCTACAGATTCCTGTCGATATTCCTGAAGTCTCAAATGCATTTCCTACACTGCGGATCCCCTATCACATAACAGTGTGTGCATTCTTTTGTGTTATAATTTCCTACAGATTGATTCCAGCCTAACCCTTTTTTGTCTCTAGAGCTGACAATGTCTACGTGTTAGCACATATGGAACGTATTGTATGTGAGTCTGTGGAGTCGTGTATGACACAACCCTGGGGAATCCTGTCAGTCAAACAAGCTGGCAGTTTATGTGAGGAACCATGCAATTTGCAAGACAGACTTGTAAAGTGCGGTAAATATGTAATTGCTTCAGTGCATTAGAGCTTATGTGAAAACAAACATATCAGTGCTTATTTGGGTCTTTGGTTATGCAATGAGTGTTTTATTTTGACTCAAATAGGCCAGATAATGCTATTTTTAATCTTTGAGAGCAAAGGTAGGCACAATATAGGATCAATATTACCAATGACACCATTGAGATGTCGTATCCTAAAAATGAATTATTTCAGCCAGCCTGAATCTATACCCGGAAATATGCAACTGTCTGTTTAAGTGAAGCTCCGACCATGCCCACTCTGACAAAACGCGCCTACAACAGCGTCTTAGGCACATCAATTGTTTTATTGGCCCTGGTAATGTAGCAGTTAAAACATCTGATGGCGGTTCGACTCCCTGTGTCTGCAGTAATGTACTTGGCCTCCTGAAGCAGATTGAATTTATTTATATTTTAGTTATATTAATTATGTTCTGCAAAATATTTTGTGTCGCTAAAGATCTTTGAATTTGGTCATTTCCAAGCAGCATTTTAGTTGATTTACTCTGCTCACCTCACATGGACTCACACAGGCTAAATAAAGAATGTCAATTAAACAGATTAGTCCAAATCTGTTAAGGCGGGCAGGGGGATTGGGGGGGGCGGGGGGGGGGGGGGGGGTACTCCGATTGAGTACCACTGCAATAAAGGGTTTGAAACATAATACTGGTGTGTAGCTAATAGGGAGGAGCCGGATACTCGTTTCAGACGAGTATCCGGTACAGATACAGCATTTTTGACGAATACGAGCATGAAACGAGTAAACCTCGTAAATAACTGTAATCATGCTGAAGGAAAATCCTCATTGGGTAACTGACTGTCTTCACGCTCTGTGATTGGCCAGTCACATAGAGCGCCCGCCCCTCCCTACTCACAAAACTCTCTAGCCGGCCGGGAGAGCAGTCCGTCCGGCTCATCCACGCACACACACAGACAGTAACGGATGTCGCTGTGATTGCTTCACTATTGCTCACGTTTCTTCAGTTTTCCCTAGGTTTTCTTCAGCTCGCCTCTTTATCGGCTGAATATTTAAAGTTACATTTTTCGTAACTTACATGGTGCATTTGACAAGACAGAGATGACGTGCTACTACCTCTGCTCCGGTCGGGTTTTTTATTTTTTTAACTCCCTCTATCTCTCTCAAACACACACACCTTAATCAACATTGTTTTGTTTAACTTTGTGTGGGGCAAAATGCCGAACGTTAAGAAAAAAATCAGTTTAATCAAATTAAAATAAAAAAATTATACATAAAGTTGTGTCTGGTTCTAGCATTTCATATTTCCTAGTTCCTACTGCATGAGTTCAGATGTATTAATCCATGCACTTAAAAATTAATGTTCTGATTTTATTGAAACACTTGTTCTGAAATAGTTTCTTTACTATTGTGATCAAAAATATTTAATCTCAATTCTGAGGCTGCTCTGTAAATAGTTTTCAAATAAACAATACAAATATCAACTTCTGATCATTCTATATCAATTTCAGACTTAAAATAATATATTGATGTAAACCGCACCCACTTCAGGTTAAACCACGCCCACTTCCGGGTTCTGCCACGCCCATTCCGAGTACAGATACAGATACAGATAGTGGTGTACTCGCTCATAAGTTACTTTTAGAAATCAGTGACTGCCTCACACACATACCCTTTGAGAGCCTCGTGATTTTTATCTTGAGAGGCGCTATAGAAAAGATCTTTTCTTCTTCTTCTTTGCTGGCCATTAAGTGCATCTTTGTGGACAGGGTGGGCTACCTTTGTCTCATCTGCAGGCTTCGGAAAAATTTGTAAAAAACTAAATCTGAGAGTACTGACACATAAAGTCAGTGTTTTTTAAATAATAATTATTCTGGCTCATTTATTATTATTATTATTATTATTATTATTATTATTATTGTTTTTAGGTTCAACACAACTTCCCAAATTCTTGTTTAGGTCTATGTGTGTGAGCGTGTCTGTGAGTGTGTGTGAGACACTCGTGACACATTGATGTGCGTCACTGGGGACTCATTGTCTTCCTTCAACTCTTTCTCTAGGTCAGCTGACTTTAACGGTGTATTCTCATAGGTTAACAACTCAGGGCAACTCATCAGTAACAGTCAAGTGATGGACTGGACTTTTCTGTTAAGTACACACTATTTAAAGAGCTGGTGACATTTATGGTGCTTGTATCTTGAGGGAGCTCTCAAAGGAGCAGACACATCTTTGTTTCTTCAGCCTCTCTTTTCTCCCTTTTATCATTTGCTCATGGTTGCCATTTGACCCGACTGGGAACTTGTGCTGAAGTTCTGTATTTGTGCTGTTTGCGCTCCAAAGTTGGAGCATTGTTAATTGCACTGATACATTTTCTTTGCATGCATGAAAAGATAATTAAACACTGATTCCCTCTCTGGTACAATTCCAATTTTACTGCCACGTCTTTCCCCTCAGAGGCAGTGAATACATGTTGTAGCTCACACAAATTGACTTAAATTACAATCATAACCAAGAAAACTCCTCTTTAACTTCACTAATGGACAGCTAAATCAACTCAAGCAAAATTAAAAACATAATTTAACCTGCCAGTTGTGGAAAAAAGAAGGGGGATTTCATTTGCAACAACTAGTAGCAAAATAATTTAAAGGAGAAAGAAGTGGTGAAGATGACATCAGCTCAATTGCAAGGGTGTAAACTAACTGTAGGTCAAGAATATAGAGAAAAGGCCACCAGGGCTGACCACTCCAATAACATTGCAGTGGAGTAGGCCTCAGCAGAAGGGTGAACTGGAGTAATAAAGAAGATAAAATGCATACTCACCAAGCTGAATGCGTCTCTGAGCGTAAGCTACCACCACTGCAGCCAGAACTACACAGCACAACGATGTCACAAGGTTTGCCATCTGTAGACACACACACAGCAGAGTCATCAGTGCATGTGAACGCCGCAGCGAGTGAGTCGTCCTGATTGACTGACAGACCCATAGACGCCTACAACACCATGTAAGAGATGGAGAGATAGCCACTTCATGTCCTCTCTGTATCTTTAAATGTCTGTCTCCCTTCACTTCATTACTGAAGAGGCCTAATCCTCTGTACTCATTTTTTTCCTACTTGTCAAATTTTCTTATTGCCTTTCTTTACTTGTCTCACTTGTTTCCATCCTGTCTCTATGTAATCTGTGTTTTCCTGTGCATGTCTCCTCTTTCCTGGTCTTCCTTTTGCCCTCTTCATCAGACTAATGGGTTCATCCTCCCTGGGATGGGCCATGGGCAGCAGCTCTTAAAGGTACAGCACATCATCAACACACAGCTGACATGAGTATCCATGCCCTTAACGTTTAACCCGCTATGCATGTTCAAACAAACTTTCACTACATGAGTTTTAATTATCTACGTGAAAATGAACAATAATAATGTATGGAATTTTTCAATTTTCACTACTTTGAAATAAAATAACATCTGACATGATAAAGTAAATGTGCTCTGAAGTTTTAAGTTCTGGCATTTTGTTTTGGATTTCCTCATGCCTCTGTCAATTTTTTGAGAATGAATAATTTAAGCTACTTTCTGTTGCAAGTTTTCATTCTTACAAATTCTGGTTTATCTGATGACTAATTAAAAAGTTAAACTACATGCAAAATTCTTTAGACTATTTTCAGCTAACGATCAGAAAAAAGGGCTTCAAAAAACAGATTAATCCGTGTAGAACAAGAAGCAACATGGATTTCATCACTAACAAAACTTAATACTGACATGATTAATACACCAGACCAGACCAGTTTTTAATAATGCCTGAGACAGTTCTGAACCCAGTTTAGTATTTGTACAGTCTCTTTAGATGTTTCATCTGCTTGATGCATGCCAATGATCTGACCTTTCTCCACCAGTCTAACATGTTTTCCACAACCACCAGATAGGCCATGGTTGTTTAAGAAATGAGAAGCAACTCATTGCACCAGTTGGGGTTAAATAACTTGTTGCCAGCTAAAATATGAAGGCCGTAATTATCCAACTTGAGGCTCGTGCGTATTTTTCAAGCAGTGTAGCTTATTCTTCAAAGTTGATTCATGTAACTAAAATTTGGGCCTGAAGCTCTTGGTCATGATTTTAGGTTTCAGCCTAAACAAGCACAACACCATGTAACAGTTTCCTCTGAAGGTTTACAATCCAGATTATGAATGAAAAAACCCAGATGGTTTATTAAAATTAATTTTCCTTTATCTATTTTGTAAGTGACAAAAAAAAAAACAAGCAAAAACGGAACTCAACAAGTGGAGCTTCTCTAGATCCACCATAAAATAAGTTTTTCTCTTCTTCTCCATCACCCCTGCTGCTTCCTGGCTCTTAGGCTCCTTTTCTTTGTTCGACTTAAAGGGAGACTTGGCTTTCGTACACAGAAAAGTTGTCTACAGGTCTGCTTGCTGCTGAGATTTGCACTGAATAAGGTACCAGTTTCTGCTTGTGAAGAACAGAACGAGCACTCTAAATGACTCCCCCTTCTCAAAAAGGAAGTGGCTTTCCTTGTTCTTCTGAGGCCAGACTCCAGCTGATCCAAACTTCTGTCGTATCCTATTCCCTCTTACTCTTTGTTTAGCTACAGCTACTTACTCAATTCATAAAAACTCTTTCATTTCCACTCTAGCTATTTCTTGCTCAGTTTCTCTCTGTCTTCATCTGAAATTCCACCTCTTCATATCACGTCCCTCGCTTGTTCTGTCTCCCCGTGTTAAGGCCCGACATGAACACCACAACACCGTGTTAAAGCATCTTGCTGAGGGAAAAGGAAAAACATGACCCCAAGTGCTGCGGATTGATTCTCAAGAACATGAAAAAGCTTTTATAGTCAGAAAATTTTTTTTCATGCAGTGCCAACTAATCGGACCTTGAGAAGAAGATATTTCACATTCAATCTGCCAGAAGAACTGAACATGGGTTTATGACAGTCAAATATTTTCAAACAGCTAAAGACCCTTTTATTTAAAGCTGCTTTTAACTAAACCTTTTATTTCCTTATTTTTAACTCAAATTTTTAATCTTTCATCTGTTCACGAAAATTTATAATTTTATGACTTTATTTTTTCTGACGTTAATCTAATTCTGTTTTGAGAGCATTTTATTTGGTTTGATCTACGTGAAGCACTTTGTGATTCTATATCTGTGATAAGTGCTATATAAATAAAATTTACTACTTATTTACTAAATGTTTTGAAGTTCTGTTCTGAATATAGGGTTAAGTGTCTTAGAAATCAGATAACATCAGATACTTTTAAAAACACTTGTTTGTAACTTTAAAGGTGCAGTATGTAAGAATAGAAAAAAGAAAGACTTTTACAGTGAGAAATTCCCCCAAAACAAAATGTTTCAGTCATGTTGGAAGGAAGGTTAAAGTGGTTGCAGTAACCAAACGTTACCACAAGGTGTATTTTTTTCTTCATTTCTACATAATGCACCTTTAATTTTTGATGTCAGGCTGATCAGACTGGATGAAGGAGACGAACAAGGTGAGACGTTTAACAGTTTTATTATTTCTCTGGTCGTATCTCTGTGAGGAAGCAACGATGACTGAGATGAGAAGCCGGTCACGGCGTCTTCCATATATAGCCTTGCTTGGCTGTGACGTGGAGGGAATCCCCGCGAGGAGCACGCTGGGAGCTCCCCACGAGGGGCATGTCGGGAGTTGTGGTCCGAAGGTCAGCCGGGAGATACCTGAGTCCTGACATTTGAAAGGAAAAAAGCTGATAAACTATAAAGGAATACAATTGTTATTTTGCCTTATTTTTTGGTAGTTTCAGTGACAAATCTAATTTACTAGGGTGATCAGGTGAACTTTGGTTCTCCTACAACCCCAGCTGATGCCATGAAGGGGATGCTGCCTGGCTTCCTGATGGCTGTGAAGGTGATGAACAAGGTGCCATTTCTCAGGGATGGTATCGTAATGAGGTACTGCTGCTTTGTTTTCTACTTTTGGTAAGCTTTCATTAAGTTTGCACCTACATAAGACAAAAAACGTGAATGAAAGTTTGCATATAATACATTAATTGAAAGACTTCATGTGTGTGTATCTAGTGCACTGATTTGTGAGTGTGAGTGATTGGCAGCTCATATGTATTTCATCTGGGGAGACTGACAGGGGGTGAAATTAAAATTGTATCCCTTGTCAGAGCGTCACAATCCCCATCTTTGCTTTTCGTTCTCTAAGTGCTGGTTTGCCCATCAAAACAAAATATGTGTGCGTGCGTGTGTTTGACTGGATTCTCTGAGAGCCAACACTCAGTTGTGTGTGTGGGGGAGGGGGAGGGGGGGGTATTTAGCCTGTCTATCAGAAAACAATAAATTTTGGAAATCTGACAGCTTCAGATCGCTCACATAGTGACAGCTAACAGGTGACTTGAGCCCACAGTCACACAAGCTCAATCCATCTTTTCCTCCCCAACTCACACTCTCTCACTCACTCACTCACTCACTCCCTCCTTCCACTTCCTTATTCCATATTTATTTATTCATTTCTCATTGGAGGGGAAAGGGCTGAATGGGCATGATTCTTTTGAGTGCTTAATTAAAATATATAATTTATTTCTAATAAATGATTTTGCCTCTGCATTTTTGCTGCAGTCCAACTTTGTGAACATTTGCATTTAAATTGAAAAGCCAAGAGGAAAACACACTAGGCAGGCTGAGGTGTCTGTGTGGGGTCTGTGTAGGTCTTCTTCTTCTCTTTTACAATTTTGACATATTTTACATTTTTCTGTGCCCCTTTTGGTCAAAACTGTGCAAATTTGAATCCCACTGTCTGGTCCAAAGGGCCACTAAGTCATTATATAATTAAACTGTCCCAAAGAAATAGCTGTGGCCAGTACAGGTCATTTTCAGTCAGAAGGTTCGACAACAAGCCTTTGCTGATTATGTTTCATATTTACAATAGCTGACTGAAGTACAGACAACATGTTGTTCTCTCCTGATCTTTTTCTCCAAAACAAAACAGCCAAATTCATCCTGTCATGGAGCTGTCAGAAACAGAAAGAGTTCACTACAAATGTGTCTGCAGTGAAAATAAAAAGAAGTGCTCCCCTGGGTAATAAATAAGCTCTTTGGTGCATAGCAAGAGTAGCAAGTTACAGCCCTAAGGAACAGCATCCAATGCTATCAAATGTGGGAGAAAAGCTCACAATAGCGTCTTGCGTTGTTGCCTGCGAGGCCATCAGCGGGAAATGGCACGTGAGGAGTTTTGTCCCTAAGTAAGACATCCATCATGTGGGGGAAGATGTTGCCTGCTCCCCTGACAAAATAAAATCAAAACAAATGATTTAGCTGTTGAGATTCTAAGTAGCTGTTTTATTAAGTAATTCCAAAGGATGTGCAGTGGATTGAGATTTATGGATCATACAGGCAATTACTGAAGATGTGATGCTGAGACTGTGGTGAATTATCCAGCTGGGCCCCAGGTGGAGATTGGCTGTTTGGCCAGAACCGTGTTGTCTGACACCATAGAGAGTCTTGCTTTTCTTTAAAGTCCTATCTTTCCCCAGTTTCCTTGACTTTAATGACTTAGTGCAATGCAACTCACCATCTGGTGAATGGACTATAAACACAGAAAAGAAACTCTACCTTGTTTAGATGCACAATTCTAAACAGCAAAGCACCTTTTTTATGAGCCTGCATGAAACGTTCAACATTAACAAATGATTTTTTTCAGAGTGATACGGGTAAAAACAATGTAGATTAAAAACACTTACATCTTCTCATAAAAACAATAAAACTCAGAGGTAATGCATCTTAACAGTTTACCGTCTGCCAATAAAAAGACAAGCTACGAACCCACTGGTGTCCTTCCTTAGGAGACATTTCAATGACAGAAAATGGTTTTAGCTTCCTCACACACTGTGGTATGGAGACGCCTGATTAATGTAGCAAGTCGAGCAACTTTTTTTGAGTTGGGTTCAGCTCCCACATGTTCAAATGTAAATCATTAAAAAAATCAGACAAATGTATGATTTCATCAATTCCAATGTTACTTTTTTATGACAATTGCAATACTGTGAAAGTGACAAAAGTAGATATTTTCAAACTTCTAAAGCAAAACAAGACCGCTTTTTGAGTGTAAAACAAACTCAAACAAGAAACAAAATATATATTGTATCCAGGGGCACAAGATAGCCACAGGGTCATAAAAGGGAATTTAAAGATGCAGACATTGAGTTTTTAGAAGTTAGTAGAAACATGTTGAGAGTAGAAATTCCAGGTGTTGATTGATATGTGGTCAGAGGACAAGTTACTTCATTCCCTTGTCACTAGTATTGTCTGTTTTTGTTGTAACCAAGGCTTCTGAAATGAGATGGATATCTGCTTTTGGTCTAGGCTGATCTACTATACAGTGGGTTTATTCTAAATTCAGCTAAAACAGGGCCTAAAAGTGATGCTTTTCTAATGACCACATTGCTATTTGCTACAGTTATGGCATATTTAGCTAGCCTTGTATACAATAACTTTTCAAGACATTGTGGGTGTGGTAATTCATTTGTACATATTTACTAAACTCCATCAGTAGCTAGAGAAGCCAGGCCTGGACACTAGTGAGGCCCTCAGTACAAGAGCAATGGAGGTCAGTGACTACCACACCAGACAAGACTCAAGAACTGGACTGTGCAGAGCTGCCCCTGAGATGGTCCAGTACCTAATAGCAGAACATCACTTTAAGTGGTGATAAACATAAAAAAGAACATTAAAGAGCAACTTTTTGGCAGATAAACAGAATGAGTGTCTAATAGTGTTGTAGTCATTACTTTTTTTTATGCATCTTATTTAATACAAATATTTTACCCAAAACCAACAGTGTGGCACCCACTTCAGGTTAAAAGTCTGCTCTACACTTGCATTGAAATCAGCTATCGCCATTGGCCAAGCCAGGATTTTTAACATTAGCCAGTATTTGTGACATGGATGCACTGCAGCCGAGACTCGGCCACGCCTCCGGCTGGCTCGGCCACTCACAAGCCAATAAAACGATGTGGCTCTGAGCCGCTGGCATCCCCTAAAAAAACTTGCTCTTTCACATCATGAAATTGTGAAGTAGAGGAAAGACCAAGGTTTGAAAATTTGCTAGGATTTCTCCAAGGTTTCTAACAAAGAACATTTTTCTTTTAGCCAGATTTTTATGAGCATGCAAAATATTCTTATCATCATGATCTTATGTTTCAAGTTATTACAACTTAAATGGAAGAAAGCTGCTTCTATGACAGGAATATACCAGCAGTGTAAAGTTTACTTTAAATAAAGCATGATCAGTTAATTATCCTGTAATGTAGCTTCCCAATAAAGAAAAGTCTGAACATGTTAAAGAGTGGAATGCTTTAGTTTATTTATATATTTTTATATTTATTTATTTATTTATTTATTCATTCATTCATTCATTCATTTTTCTCATCCCTAACTGTGCTGTAAGTCTCTGACAGGTGTTTATTCTCACAGGTTTTGTACGTTAATTAGCTCAAATGTTAATGAGTTTCCTGCGCCCGTGACCCAGATGGCTGTAATAACAGCAAAGGAGCATCTCTGGTGCGTTCATCCATCAATAACTGTCCTGAACGAACACTCATTTACTCACAAACATAACTAATCACACATTAGCACCACCATTGTAACCTTTAATGTCAAGCTCTATAGCCGATGATGCAACTTCCTCATTCCCATAATGCTTTGCTTTGCTTTGCTGGCTAACGATAATTCTCTCATCAATCATGCTGGGTTGAGGCAGATTAACTACAAGCACCGAGGGGCAAAATAGAAGGAAGGGGGGTCAAGTCCGATAGTGTGTCTGCTGGCATTTTGGGAATGGTGCGCACATACGTGCACACACAGCTGGCATTTAGTGCAAAGTGTTGATAGCTGGATGGCTGTGACCTTTTTCACAGGCACGATGGCTATAATTGCTTGCTAAAGACAACGTCAGTGGTGTCTTGAGAGGTAGCAGAGGTCGAGAGCGTAAACACACATGAGTGCGGACGTGCAAAGGTACGTATGTGGATGACGGTGTTCAGCTTGTGGTGATAAATTCAGCCATTGATCACATGTGACTGCTTTCAGCTGGCTGAGATTTAGTGGACCTGAACACATCAGCCTCTGTCTCATGTATCATAAAGAACCACTGCCGCAGAGGTCCCTCATCACAGAGCTGCTGGGTCCAAACTGCTTGGGTTTTTCTTCTGAGTCAGCTGCACATCTCACAGTACGTGCCCATCAGGAATGGTTAGTGTTTTTAACAGGTTATGAGTTTTCATTTAAAGCTTCCTTTTACTTGAACATCAGAAGCTACAACTATTTTGAATAAGTTAAAAAGATGCATCTTGCTTGAGGATCTTAGGGCGCATCTGTATGACAGCTTGTTGAGCAGGAATGTTTGCTTTTAAAGCTGAATATGAGTGTGTACATATGCGAGAGGTGTTTTTGTCTCAACCCCAGCCATCTGGACCTCCTTGTGTGTGTGGAAGCAGATTTAGGTGGTTAGAGATCTCTGGAAAAACACACTGTTACCTCCAGCCCTCTCACCTCTGAACTCTATAAGTGTATCAAAGCTAAGAAAACAGAGCACTTTGTGTGTGTGTGTGTGTGTGTGTGTGTGTGTGTGTGTGTGTGTGTGTGTTTTCAGCATTCTTAAGTCCTACTAGGCTTTGAATGATGGGTGCAGACTCCCCTTTGTGAACAGGGAGCCTCCAGGAGCTACACAGCATGTGTGTGTTAGTGTGAGTGTGTGTGAAGGAGAGTGTGATGTACAGGCTGTGATGTTCTGAATGGAGGTGTTTTTACTGGGAGTTAATCAGAACCAGAGCTCAGGCCTTGCCCACAGTGGGTCAAACACTTGCAGTGTCCAACATCACCTCTTTTTTCCCTCAAATTCAAAAAGTCTGATTTGCAGCTAACCGCATCACTATGCTTTCATGCTTCCCAGAATATAGTTGACTTTGTCAACTCCATAATGATAAAATGTGTTTGAACACTAAGAGACATTCACATTCACATTCACTCATCGACTTTACAGAGAAGATAGTAACAGCAATAGAAAAAAAAGAATATTCGATAGTTTTTCTTGACTTAAAAAAAGCCTTTGGTACCGTGGAGCATAACTTGTTACTGAAGAAACTAAATAGTTATGGAATTAGAGGTGTTTCAAATCTATGGATCAAGAGTTATGTGGAAAATAGGGAACAGTATGTGCAAATGTAGGAAGTTAAATCCCACACACTGGGAATCAAGTGTGGAGTTCCCCAGGGGTCAGTGTCGGGGCCCTTTTTGTTTATCTTGTATATAAATAATTTAAGGGAGGCATGCACAGAGCTTAAACCCATTTTGTTTGCAGACGATGCTACCTTAGTTTGTTGTGGGGAGAATTTGAATCAGATTCTGGACACTGTACATAAGGAGTTCTCAATATTGAAGACCTGATTTGATGATAATAAACTCACATTAAATTAGCCAAAAACAAAGTTTATTATTTTTGGAAATAAACACAATGATCTAAATGCTAAACTCAGGATAAGTAATATTGAAATTGAAAGGGTAACAACAATCAAGTTTCTTGGAGTGATAATAGATGATAAATTAAATTGGAAATCACATATAACTTACATTAAGACAAAAATGTTGAAATCAATGGCGATAGTGTATAGAGTTAAAAAGGTTATCAATATGTTTTCTCTGCTAACCCTATATTCTTCTTTTATTGTCCCTTACTTAATATATGACGTAGAAGTATGGGGCACTACATACAAAACCAATTTAGAACCTCTGCATACTGTACAAAAAAAGCAATACGAATAGTGGCTAATGCAGAATATAGACAACATACTCATTCACTGTTTATTAAATTAAAATTCTCAAGTTTAAAGATCTTGTTAACTATAGAATAGCACAACTTATGTTTAAAATACTGAACCAGGAAGCCCCTTACAGTGTCCAGAAGTTGTTTCAACTAAGGGATGGAAATCATACTTTACATGTAACATTTATTATAAGACACCTTTGATTAGAACCAACAGGAAATATAATTGTATTATATCCAGAGGAGTAGAAACATGGAATAATTTGAGTGAAGCAATCAAGAAATGTAAAACAATTAGTAAATTTAAAACTTTCTTGAAGATGGAAATGTTAAATACATATGGTATGAACAAAGTGGCAATATCTTGTTGACATCACATGAGTGCTAGAATTTGAATTGAATATTAATTGACTCAATTTTTTTCTGTGGCATGTATGGTTTGATTTGATGAATTGTTTTCTTTT